TTTAGTTCATGTCAATCAAGTCCCCTATGACCTCCATCAGTTGACCCACTCACTTTTCCTTCCATAAGCTTTGGGGTTTACTTCAAGTATTCAACTATGTAGTTTGACTGTGTTTCCATTTTTGACTAATCTTTACAACATCTCCCTGGTGGTTGAGTCCCCATCCCTGGAGGTGTTTAAAGGTCGGGTGGATAAGGTGCTCAGAGATATGGTTTAGTAGTGGACAGGTATGGTTGGACTCGATCTCAAAGGTCTTTTCCAACCAAACAATTCTATGATTCTATGATTCTACTGCTACATGTTTCCAGTTTCTTTTGCATAAATTATTTTCCATTCTATTTAAAAAAAAAAATCTCTCTTGCCTTTCTACTACATTTGTTTTGACACAGTTTGTATAAAAGAGTATTTCTATTAAAAAAATAGTGTAGAAACATAAATAATGATGTTGTAGTGCAAGCTTCCGCAGAGGTGATGTACACACTCATGCACTATTAAAGACTATCTTATTCTAAGCATTTATATATTTTTACTACAGTTTGTAAATCTGTAAGTGGGTAAGTGGCATGGAAAGCTTCTTGTGAGTTTTCTCTGTTTTTTGAACGACAGCTAAAATTTTGTATCATTCCTGACTGTGAGCTGTTTCATGCCATTTACTTTATTTTGTTGGACTTATTGTCATTTCAAAAAAATATTTCTATGTTCCATGTGTATCTGTAACTATGGAAACCATGAAGTAATTAAGAGGAGTATGGTTGATGCTTCTGTGGCTCATCAAGACAGCCAAATGTTCAAATAGTTAGACAAAACTTTTTGTTGTTTTTAAGAAGAAGAATCTACAAAAATGATCTATGAGATAATGATTTCTAGTGTAGCTTAATGGTCTATGAAAAATTGAGATTGATGTTATAGAAACTGTTACTAGCGATTCATGGCTACTACATTATCAGAAATATATTAAGAAATCAAAGGAAATTTAGGCAAGAGAAATAAAGCTGAAAAAGAAACTGATTTATGACGAAAGAGCTTTCTGAAGCTGGGATTGTTGCAGGGGCTTAGAATTCTTCCATTGTCGAGGAAGTAAAAATACTGAGGGTGGACAAGATGAGTGAGGAGGAAGTGAGCACAGAAATATGAAAAAATTGATTTAAATGGGGTAAGCTTAAATACAGGGCCTCTGGAGGAATCAAACCATTGGGATCTTCGGCGTCACTGAGTTTCAAAGAAAGTGATCACGTCATGATGACCTGTGGATAAAGACTGTGCTGTCTGATTCTCCATAAACTTATTCTTTAGGGTTTCCTTTTTTCCCCAAAAATGAAATTCTCAAGCCCAGACAAATTAGACCAAACAATTAATATTTCCTGAGTCTCTCTGATTTTTTAACCCCTCCTTTCTCTTGGTATGATTATCTCTTCTGTCCCCCTCCAAATTGTTAGTTTGTAAATTTTGATCATTTTACTTAGAAGTAGGCCTAAAACCAGAGATGCAAGGAAGTTCAGGTACAAAGTTTCACAGATTTGTCTAAGCTAGAGTCCTGCTTTAGGAGGTCACAACTGTAACAGAGACAAGCAATACAATTAATACACCCCCCCTAAAAACAATTCAGTATGTTTTTACAGAGGTGAATTAATTAATTTACTTGTATCGTAGATTCAGAGAAAAAAAATAACTTGCAGGGGGAGAATATTTCAAATTACTGTATGTAAATGTATTGGTGTGAACTTTTACACAAAACCAAAGACTCCTCTGCTGGTGATGTTGGTTTCTTCCTTGGGCACCAAAGGTGTTCTTAGAGAAGTGCATTGTGATAGTGACTGGAACCTGGCCATGTGCTGTTTGAGAGGCATTATTTCATATGTCAGCCTTATAGTTGCCTGAATGTGTCACTTCCAACACTTTGTTTGCTACAGGATTGTTCTAGAGCATGTTTCGTTTTTGTGAAAGTTGTCGGGAGCTTTCTGTAAGATTGGCAGCTGCAGCTGAGAGATTTTGGCAGAAGGGCATGTGAAGAAAGGCAGTTGTTTTTTGTTTTATTTTTATCTTAATATGACTAGTAACACTGTTGCTAGCAGCAGTGTCAACAAAACTGGCATAAAAAACCCTTTTGATGTTAACTCCTTGAATCAATGCTCCACTGCACCTTTTCTATTGGCAATTTGTAATTATGGGTTTAGAAACTTAGGCCAGGAATAAGATTAGGATCAATCTGTGAATTGTATGTTCAGTTGCCTAGAAGTAGGCATCTGATGCCATTTTTTTGTGCCCTACAGTTCATAAGACATAATACATATGACTGGCAGAGCTGTCCCAACTCCTGGTGCAGGCTTATGCCCTCTGAAGTGGCGTGTGGCAGCCAGGTGGAATGTGCTGACTTATCTCTAATGGCACTAACTTATCATAAAGCAGAGGATTTAATTTTATTTTGTTGTGTCTACTTGAGAATGAATGGATTCTCTTTGTATGGAAACTTAAATACTTGCCATGCCTATAGGCATTTCTGTGTAGACGGAAAAAACTTAGGCATCTTACTCTCATCCTTATTTGTACACAATAGGGTATGGTTTGGAAAGTTAACGTGTCAGTTAACTGTGAAAGGCAAACAGGAGGAGTATAAAGTACACTCTGTAGTGCAAGTGGAAAATTCTGATAAGATGGGCTTTTAGACATCCCTCCTGGATGCTTTCAGACAAACATGTAAATGGCACAGCAGACTTTAAGGTGACACGTAGTTCTGTAGGAAGTGGGGCCTTGTTCCCTATGAACATATCTTGCGGTTGAATTGCTGTGTAGATTCTGTGATGCCAGTAAAAGGTTGCACTAATGAAATATTTATAGGGCATTTGTAGAACCGCTTGTTTCATGAAACTTTTAAGAATATAATGCCTTGAAAAGTTCCATGCCCATGAAAAATTTTATTGCATTTGTCCAGTGGGTTAAAATGTTATTGGAGTGTGTGGGGAGAAAAGGGGGAAGAAACCAATCAGCTGTCAGCATAAACCTCATTTTCTTGCCAAACTGGGATAAAAATATCAAGCTGAAAACCTAAATTATGAAGAAAATCTTCTCTGCACAGGAATGGAAGAGCAGAGAGTGCTAAAATGGCTTTATATCATATTCCTGAAATGGCTGAGCCCCATACATCTGACAAACATCAGCGTGGGCAAAGCAGTCCTCTCCTTTCTTGGAGTGGAGAACGATAGAGAACTGTGCTGTCTTTTGAACCCTTCAATCTACAGGAGAGGCTTCAGCAAAAGCAGAACCTAGACTCCTAGGCTACCTCTTTACTAACAAATTAAACCTCATCTGGGACTGTTCCTAGGCGTTAGAGTATCTAAGTAGTAAATCAACAGAAGGCTACTTGGCACGCTCGTGGCCTTCTGCCCACCAGCACTTTCTTATCAATTTTGCCTAGTGGTTTGGGAGTTGGGGTGCTCTGAGGCTTATCTCCAGGAGGTAGTTTGTATGCAGCCACTTTACTTTGGAGTAGAGCAGAAATCCTAGTAGAGATGCAAGTTATTTCACGCCATTTGGCATGAGTGCTCAAAAATGTTTCTGTGCAAATTTAATGTACTAGTATGGGTGTCATTTCAAGATACAGTTTAACAGGAGAGGGTGAGCCACTGCCATAGAGAAAACATCCTCCCATTTGCCTCTGTTCCTGGCCACATGATTTCACTACTCATCAAACCCTTCAATGAGAAAAATAGATGTGACAAAAAAAGAAGCCTGTTTAAAAATACAGATACATTTCTGCTGTTTTTAAATGGAAGTGGCTCCTGGGAGGACCTGACAGTCAAGGGAGGGGATACAAGGGAGCATGCAGTATAGTGAAGCTGGTAACAAAGAAGGGAGAGGACAAACTTGGATAGGGAGAAAGAAGAGCTAGAGAGGAAGGAAGTGGGGAGAAGACCTTCCCTTTTGATGACCAGGAGCCATTGGATGAACTCAGCTCTCTGCACAATTTTGAAAAATATGTTTAATGAAAGCTTGGATTCACAAGCACATTTTCATTAGAAAAGTAGAGTTGTTTACTTATTTAGATTTTGGTCTAATGTAAGGATTCAAGTAAATTTTCAGCTTCATTTATTTATATTTTAATGGAGTGAAGCTATCATGACACTTAGCTAGGCTTTTATTACAGAATTCATTTTGATTTAGCAAAAGAGAGAAATGCAATGCTGTATACTAATTTCATGGTTTGCTGTGTGTTTTATGTTATCCCAGAAACATTAAGTGATACATAGTCTAACTTAATTCTGTGAATGAATAGTTTTGTAAGGGGAAATTGATACCATTTCTTCCCTCTTACTTTCAAGACATGACTTGCAGGATGGTGTCAGAGCTCTGCTGAAGTTAATGGTGCCTCAGGCAGACAAGAGGGTCTGCCTAATTACATCCGTCTAAAATAACTAGTGTTTTCTGGAAGTGCATAGAAGAAGGTGGCTAAAGGAACATTAACAAAAGCAATAAACCAAAAAGATGTTGTGTATACAGAAGGGAAATAATAAAGAAGGTTCAGTAAGCAGTAGCTTGTGGCCTGTTGTATTAGCACACTTGTTACCTAATTTGTTGTACAGAGATGAAGCAGGTTGCATGGGAGTTAGTGTAACTGTGTATTTGTCATTTGTAAACTCATGACATGTGAAGGAGCGTACACTTTATGGACTCTCCTCAGAATCCAGGCTTGGGTGAAGGATTTGGGGAACTTGCTTTGACCTTAGCCTGAGTTTTGCCAGGCATGTGTCATAGAAATTTGGTATAAAGTTTTTGTCCCCCCTAATGTGACTTTAGCCTCTCACTGCATGTTTGGAAGTTTCCAAATGTGAATTTGAAAAAAAAAAAAAGGCCTTTTTCTGCATTCTAAAGTGCAATTTTGAAATATGTAATAATGAACAATTGTTCTTATTTTTGTAACTGAAAATGCTCTTTTTCTCTGTGTGTATAGTTGTATATATTGTTTACTATGGGCTCTTTCAAGTTGGAATTTCATGTTGTATTAGTACAGGAATACTGTTCCTACTCATTGTGGATCACATTCAACAGTACCTGTAAGAGTAAGTTTGAGGAATATTTTTTTCTGTGAATGAAATACCCCGTATTCCACGTGAAGCAAGCATGGGATCCTTCTAGCATGTTTTCACGCAGCCTGCAAAATTTCCACCTGAATCTGGGTGGGAACTGTTGACCCACCTCCGCTGAGTCCTGTATGTGCCACTTTGTTTTTGTTATGTAGCGGTAAAGCCCAGAACCCTTTGCTATGCTGTGAAAATGCACATTTTTCCAGAGCTATGCATATGAACCCTTTGAATGAGGAGCACCCCTTTACTGGTTCTCTTTAATAGCTTCATGTGCGGATATGCATTGGCCTGTGCAAGGACGCGATAAACCAGAAACAAACCCAACAACAAAAACCAGATTTTGGATGTCTCGAATGGCTTACTGTAGCACTGCATCAGAGCTCGCCATCCAGAAAAGAGTAAACAGAAACTATTTTTTAAGTGACAGGCCAGACTAAAATTGCCTAACACTTCATTTTACTGATGCATTGTGTGGAAGTCCAGAAGCCACATTAGAGAACTGTAATCCTTCATCAGAGCACTCGTTTGGTTGCCTAACATCTGTGGATTGTTAAGATAAGTTATTACACAGACCTGCTTTAGTTTAGATTAGTTTGGACCACATCCCAGTATATTCAATCAGGATATAATTCCTGCATGCTGCTAAATCGCTTGCTCCACATACTTCTCTAAAAATGTTTTTCAATATACAGTTGACAGAAACTGTTCTGTCACCTCAAGTTTTGGTGGTATTTTTTTCCTCTTAAAGAAAAACTTTTATTATTTTTTCCTTTTGGACTGAATATATCTCAAGGCAAACGTAGCATTTATTAAGTCCTGAAGATATTCCTAAACAGGGATGGCAGTGTAGCTTCTATGTGAGTACAATGCAGATTTCCTACCTGTGTAATCTGTGGTGATCGGTATGTATTGTGTCCAAACTGCAGTGTTTAAAGACAGTTGTAAGAAAATAGTTTTGTATTTACATGTCCAGTATTTCTCCTTCCTGTATTCTGTATTTTTCTGTGTCTATTTGTGCATTAGCTATTCCTGTTTGGATCTCAAATATTTTGCATGAAATGAATTACAATATCAAGGTGATTATGTAAGTTAATGGTAATTTCTTGAACTTTATTACATACTTTATACATCATTTAAATGATCTAATATATTAAGTTGTAAATGAAATCTGTTACTATCTTTACACATTTAAATGTGCTTGCATACATACACACATATGTAATTTAATTAGAATATTTAAATTTTACTTTAGTATTCCTTATCCTTCCTTTAAACAAACTCTGGTTGGTTTGTTTTTTTATTAACACTTCTTTTAGCTTTCCCTATAAACTCATAAATACAGGCAACAACATATTTTTCATTAATGACAGTGGTTTATAGCACTGACATAGATTTTATACACAGACACATGTGCATGCACATCTCACAATTGTGTCAGAGTCTATAAAGACATTTAAAAAATTGTTTTTATTTTTCTTTTCCTTTTAGTCTTGCTGGTTTTTTAAATACCCGCAATAATAATACCAGATAGACTAAAAATCTATTCTATTAGAGCAGATAGTCTGATAAACTGAATCTCTGTTTTGAGAGGTATACTGGATGAAGGAAATAAGACATTTTGGAATCAAGGGATTTTTTTGTTCAAGGATTAGCAGTTATTTTGTCAAAGTTAGTGTTCCTGTTATCCTACTGAGGGCTATCTGTTTTTGTCATAATGCATGTTTGTGCCACTGTTGGAATAAGTATTGATTTTGATTAAGATTTTTTAATTAATTAAAATTTTAATAGGTATTTTATTATCTTCCTTAAATAGAAGAAATATAACAGTCATCTTTTGATAAGGCACAATCCAGATACAGGGAAAAGAGTTGGATGTCTTCCCAGTGTGGTTTGATCAAACAGTACAGAAATGGTATTGGAAATTCTGCCATAGTCTTCAGATCTAAGCAGATAATCTATTCTAGGGTGTTTTAAATAAATCTTAATTATGTTAAATATGTAAAATGCCTAAAATTTTCATCATGCCATGTAAACCATGCACTTCCAGAGAATAAGCCAGCTTGGTACCAGAGTTTTGTCTTTACAATTTCTTTTCTGAAGAGATTGGTTTTGTCTGTTCCTTTTAATTTTAAGTGTTGCAAAATTTTGCCACTGTTGCATCATTCCTGTGTTTACACAAAATAATTTAAGCATATTTTTCATTCCAATTTTTGTCATTCTTCTTACTCTCTTTACAATTTTACTCATTCTTTTACTTCTTTCCACATTAAATGAAAAGATTTTCTTTACCGTTTTCCTTATTAGCCGTTAGCTTTGTTTCCTCTCATCTTTTTTTATTTGTGACAAAATTCCTACCTCATGTATATTCTTCAAGGATTTTGCTTTTTTTGTCCTTCTACCTCAAAACTCCTTTTGTCTTTGTCTCAGTTTTTATTTAAATATTCTCACATTTTGAATTCCTGATTAACCTTTTATTTTTCTCTGGTGATTTACTCCTGTACATAAGACTGTCTTGTGCCGTATTTAGATTTTAAACACAAGAGTCTCGCTTTACTGTTTGTGCTCCTTTTTATCTCTGTATCTGGAATTAAAAAAAAAAAAAAAAAATCCTAAGAAGCACTGTTCATGTACACAGCTTAATTGTGCTTCCCAGGGACACATGTTTTATTTATTTATTTATTTATTATTTACAGATATAACTCAAAGAGATGGTAAATGATCATTTCCAATTAGTACAAAATATGGTACTTTTACATTCTTTTTATTGGTGCACTGAGTTTCTATTAGTAGGTTTGTTTAGGACTTACCTTCCATCTCTGGTAAGTAGTTTTTGCAGATGAAGCTAAAACCATGCACAGTAAATGCTGAATTTATTTGCAGGATAATAGTGAGTTATGTTACGAGAGAAAAATTAATTAAAGGGAAATACCGTGTCAGTTTTCTGTGGCAGGAGTTAGCTGGTCAGGACTCCTCTACCTGAGGTAGGCTTGTCCTGACAGTGATCCACACCAACAAAAACAACCCACCCCACCCCCCCAACTGCATCAATACCAGCAAGAAGTGTTGGTCGTGTTGTCGGGGTTTATTCAGAAGAGAGCTAGGGCTGGGCTGAGGGGGGGTTGCTACAAGCAGGACTGATGTATATTGACAGCATATTTTGGAGAAGCTCACATAGCATGTGCCTGTAGGATGCTTGGCTTTATCCAGTGCAGTCAGTGCTTGGAGAAGCATGTTCTGGGTCCTGTTATGAGCACTAACCTCACCAGTTTAGAGGACAGCGAGAGATCGTACCTCCTCTGTAATAGCAAGCATGCATTTCAGGGTCTGAGGGGTAGCTGCACTGACTCTTCTTGTTGTCTTCAACTAGGTTATGTGGGTATGCAATTTATGTCGAAAGCAACAAGAAATCCTAACGAAATCTGGAGCGTGGTTTTTTGGAAGTGGACCACAGCCGTCACCCAGCCAAGATGGAACACTGAGTGATACGGCCACTGGTGGAAGCTCGGATGCACCGAGAGAAAAGAAAGCAAGACTTCAAGAGCGATCGAGGTCACAGACTCCTCTAAGTACAGCAACTGCCTCATCACAGGAAATCTCTTCTTCCAGTGTGCAGTCCGACCGTAGGAAAGGAGCAGAAGTATCGCAGCCAGCTATGGGCCTGGATCAAAAGCAAATTTCCTCAAGGTCTAGAAGTGAACCTCCAAGAGAGAGGTAATGCTTTTTGTCATGATAGAACCTCAAAATTATAGATGCTAGATTTTAGATTACACAAGGCTATCAACTGGGCCTAGTGTCTGTCTAGAACCATGTAAAAACAAAGAATAAGCTGGTTTGCTTACTGTGGAAGGATAAATGTTCACTAGCAAATACATTGTCTGATTTGGTCTGTGCAATAGAAACGAGGAAAAAAAAATAATAATTGTATTTTAGGGATATTTCCATGTAATTCAAAGCATTTTGGTCTACACTTTAAGAATTGTAGGTTACTTTTAAATTTTAAATTTGGCAGGTATTTTAAAGTTATTAAAGAAAGAACAAGCCTTTAACTTGATGAAATAATGTACTAGAATTTAAAGAAACACCTCCCCAAAAAACTCCCCAAACAAACAAAAACCCCACCCTGTGGAGTTCTGTCAGGTATCCTTATATATTATCTTTTTATCAATGATTGTATTATTTTTAGTAATAAAACAGAAACTATTGAAAGAGCTCCTTTACACCTGCAAAGTGAATATTCATGATCAGCAATAGTACCATCTTGAATTCAGAGCAAGTTGTATGCAAGAATAAAGCCAACTGGAAGCAAACTATTATATTTGAAGTGAGTAAATGAGTAAATTCCTGAGCTGCATTCACTGTGGTGAACAGGTTGAGGAGTAGCAAATCAGGAAAGGTTAATGTGATGAAGGAGTTGCTGTTCTTTTGGCAGCTGCCTGGCAGATGGCAGAGCAGTTGAGGAGGGAGCCAGTGGCAATGAAACAAGAGTCTGCTATAGAAGATTCTCCCTTGGCTAGAATGGTTGTTGATTTTTTATTTTTTAAGAGCTATTGAAGTTGAAAATGGATGATGAACAGTGGCTAGTTATTTACTGAGTGGGTGAAGTCTGTCTGGGTTTGACTGTACCAAAACTCAGGTCACTGTTATGTATATGTATAATATAAACAAACACATGGTGCATTTCCATGACTCTGTTGACTTTTTTCCTTCAGCACTGAGAAGGCCCTCAGAGCATTCATCACTCAGCTGAAGAACAATTTTAGGGCAGCAAAATACTTACTTTCTGTTTCTGCTTTGCTGTCCAAAAGTGAGATGGTTATATTAATTATGCAATAGTAATGTTCTCTACTTGTCACTGAGGCTTTCAAATGAAGTCCAAGGGTTCTGAAGGATGAGCATCTATGATAAGCTTAGGTCCCATTTAATGCCAAAATCTCAGGAGGAACAGGAAATGGAGAAAAAGGAGAGAGGAGCTTGGATCATATCCAATTTTGCCTGTCCTGTTGGATGCATCTGTGAAGATCTGTGATATGTGATCTGAAGATGTATCAATTGTTGAAGGAAAGATTCAGTGCCACAAAACAAAGACCTAGTGAGTTTGTCCTGGTGCAGGTTCATCTAAAATACAGTGTATAACTGTCTTCACCCTTTTTCAAAATTGATGGATTCATATGTGAAATGGTAAACAAAAGGGCAGGGGAATAAAAGAGAGAAATAAAAATAGCCAGTATAAAGGAATTTTATGATTCCTCGGCCTACTTATTCTCTCAAAGTAGAAGATAAAAGAGGAGAGACCATAATTTTCAGGCAGTTTCATTATTCATTGTTTTGTACTTTGGCTGTATAGAGAAATAAAATATATTCTTCATCCTCTTTTATTACCAAAGAAAGGAATGCCATTAATTTATCTCAAGGAATGAATTTGCTTTTCTTTATATGCTTATGAAATGGGTACTTTTTTTAGAGTTTTAATAAAATAAAGCAAACTAGGTCAAATATTATTGTTTCTGGATATATTTTTGATTTATTAATATCCATATTAATTCTTTCTGTAATGTCATTGTGGGTGTTGTTTATATTTATACTGTCAGCGTGCTTTAAGCAAATTGTGTATATGTGGTTAGTCTGTAACCCTCATGACTGCTGCAGAAAAATGGAGAACATACTCCAATACTCTGTCTTAGTGCTGCAGTTACTACCAAGATGACTTTGAGTCTTCCTACCTAAGTAGATAAATTATATTTATCTGCATTTATCCATGTTAATATTCTTTGTGATTTTACCCACTAATTGGACCATCTATAATTCATGTTTTTGTGGACTCTGGAAGTTGTTTACTATTGGAAAATAAAAGTACCGCTGGAAGGATTAATAGATTTAATTCGTGTTAATGGATCCAGTACCTTTCTGTGTTTTGCTGTAGCTTATCCTGGTTTATAATCTGTTTACCATAACAGTGGACACAAGTATTTTTATTTTACATTCAGTTCCTCAAATTATTGTACTCCTTTTCATTGTAGGAAGAAGACGATATTGGTTTCAGACCAGAATGGCAAAGGTTTAAAAAGTGAGCGTAAGCGTGTGCCGAAACCCTCGCTTCAAAAAGAAGGACCTGCAGGTGACAGGGAGCGTAAAGAACGACCTGAAGGTAGAAGGCTGGAGAAAGGCAAGTCACAGGACTACCCAGATTTGCCAGAGAAACTTGAGGAAGGCAAAGTGCCTGATGATGAAAAACAAAGGAAGGAAGATGAATATCATACCCGTTACAGGAGTGACCCCAATCTGGCAAGATATCCCGTAAAACCACACCCTGAGGAACAGCAGATGCGCATGCATGCAAAAGTTTCTAAAGCACGGCATGAAAGAAGACACAGTGATGTAGCTTTGCCACATACAGAAATGGAGGAAGCAGAGGTACCTGAGAATAAATTAGGAAAACGCTCACAATTACAGGGAACTCAGGACAGAAAATCTCTTGTGGAAACTCAGAGGTCGTACTCTATAGACAGAACAGGTGATGTAAGAATTTCTGTTTCTAAACAATTAACTAATCATAGCCCACCAACACTCAGGCATAGTCCAGTTCCTATAGAACATGTAGAATACAAGAACCACGATTCCTTTAAAAAACAGAGCCGCCTTGATCCTAGCTCTGCTATTCTCATGCGAAAAGCAAAGCGGGAGAAAATGGAGACCATGCTAAGGAATGATTCCCTTAGCTCTGACCAGTCGGAATCAGTGCGGCCATCCCCTCCAAAGCCTCATAGAGCAAAAAGAGGCGGAAAGAAAAGGCAGATGTCAGTTAGTAGCTCAGAGGAAGAAGGGGCATCAACACCAGAATATACTAGCTGTGAAGATGTGGAGATAGAAAGTGAAAGTGTCAGTGAAAAAGGTAAGGACCTTTATGTATATTATGCACATGGCCATCGTTTGGGGAAAAAAATAATCTGTATTTTTCTCTCTTTTGCCTCTTTTTAAACATGCACCTTTGTTTATTTTCCCTTTCCTTTTTCTTTTTTTTTTTTTTTTTTTTTGTGCAACTGAGAAGTGTCTTGTACCTGCTTACGTTTGGTTTGCAATGTTTCCTTTTGCATTCTTAGATGAGGTGGTTACAGGCGGCGTCTGCTGATGGATTTCTTTCTCATTCTTTTCCCTCTTTCACCTAGAACTGACAGAATTTAAGGGTTCTTGTTTATTCTGTCAATGATATCTGTACTCCTTTGGTCATTGCTTCATCCTTTTGTATGCAGAATAGTTTTCCGTGAACAAATATAAATGGAAAGTGAGTTCTGTAACCATCTGAGGAGACTATTATAAAGCGCCATAATCTTACTGACACCTCAGTCTCATATGCAAAATTTTACTACCTTTAATACAGTATCAAGGCTCTGCCAGAGTTCATTGTTAACAAGGACAGGATATGGGGCAAGGGGAGTGTTATATAAAAAATAAATGAGAATTGCCAAACTTCTTGTATAGGTGAATTTACTACCAAGCTTACAAGTGTGTTTAATATCTGTTATTTCAGTTTGCCTTCATCTGTTGGTAGTAACACTCAGCAGTAACAAGTAAGTGTAATACACTGTGTGCTTTTAAACAAAGCCTTTCTTCTGTCTGAAGAAGTTAATCAAATTCATAAATGGTGAACAGATAAGCTTCATCAGAGAAGACTGTGGTAGAACCTACCAGCTGTGTTATAAACCTGATTTGTCTTGAAGTGACACTACAGGGAGCTGAAGGCTTTTTGTGTCTTTGGAAGTAGCTTTTAGCTCTTTAGTTTAATTATCTGTGCTTGTAACTTAAAAATTTTCTGCTGGTGTTCATACTCAAAATGCCAACAGCTTGTCTGCATTGCGTTTTAGTTCTTGGCACTGTTTCCTGACGTGTCATTGATTCATATATGCTAACCTGTCTGTCTTTATCTGATGTTATGGTCTCCTGGCATCCCCTAAAGCTCCAGATATACATATAAAAAGAGAGCATTTCTCTCCTTTCCTGTCTGAATAGCTACTTTAACTTTCTAAGCATGAACTTTTCCATTCAAAATGTGGAAGCTTGCTTTTCTGCTCATTTTTAAGGAGGGATGATGATTATGCCCCTGAAATCTTAATTTGGATTCCACTTAGACATAAAAACTCTCACATTTTTTACTGTAGGGGTTGTCCAAAACTGGAACATATCACACAGAGATATTGTACAGTCTCCATCGTTGGAGATGCTAAAAATGCAAAGGGAGAAGACCTTGAGCAACCTGCTGTAGCTGACCCCGCTTTTGAGCAAGGAGGTTTGAACTAGGGACCTACACAAGTCCCTTCCAGTTTCAACTATTCTATCTTTCTAACAGAACACAGCTCGTTCCTTTATTTTGTGGCAATGTTTTATGCTGACATTTGGATTTGTGTAATTTTCCCTAACTTCCTCTGTTGATAGTAGCGGTCTGTAATGTAGCATTTTCTTTACATCTTTGTTATTTGCATTCATTTATGTGCATCAATTTGAGGTTGCTTATGAAGTAGAAAGTCTTTCCCATATTCAGTGAGGGATGATTATAAACTGGAAGGTCATTGATGTGAAAGTCAAGTCCAGGCTGAAAGTCCTTGATACTGATGCCAATATGTTGATATAGTTTGCTCTATAATGGTCCTTTGTAAGCAAAACCTTTCAATGGTTGTTTTCAGGCTTATGACACTGATCTCAGCTTTTGATCAATTTCCCATTGTATTGTTAAACCATTAAAAGTTGGACTTTCTTCCTTCAGTGTTATGAATCCCAGAGGATTTCAAATGTTGCTAAATGCTTATGTTCTTGATAACTGAATCAAGTTCTTGATTACCTCTGGGAGAGATATTTAGGCTCCCCCTTTAGGCAGTGGAGGCCTTGGTCTGTACTGTATCACAGTGCTACCTCACTGTATTTGAACAAAAAACTATAAAAAGTGTGCTAGGGACCGGTCTGACCACTACCAACTCAGTACTTGGTTAACATTGCTGAACATTCCTTGAGACCTTATCTCTGCTTGTCAGTAAGCTAGCACTGTGTTATTAATCAGAATATATATATATCTATACAGACATATATATGTATATATACGTGTGTGTTTATGCAATACATTAATTACAGGAATATATTTATTAATTTAATAGCTGTGAGATGTGGCTGTTAATGAGGTTTTTTGCCTCATCTTGATAGGACTTTTACAATCCTTGTCATGGAAAAAGAAGAGGAAAGCCTTTGAAGCTCGGAATATAGCACAGAAAAAGAGCTAGGAAATGTGAATACCAATGGGAAAGCAGAAGCATTTTTGGTAGTAAAGTATCCAATTATTTTCAGAATTTAATTTTCATCAGTACTTGAAAAAATCTGCAGTATTTCATAGAAAAAATGGAAAGGTAGGAAATTTTATTACCTAAGAAACTCTTCTAGAAATCATTCAATATTTTAAAAGAAAAAATGCCACAAGCAAAGTGTTAAAAAATTGATCCAAATAATTAAAAATGTCCCTGTTGTAACTGAGGTCAGAATCCCATTTTTTTCAATTTAGCAGCATTGTCACAAACAGAATCTCACCCACCATTCTTTCAGTGCTTTGCTTGTAATTTGGGAGAGATATTGCACAGGTCCCTAGTTGTTCTGCTTTAGTTTATAAGACCAGGAGGGTCTGGAATCCATCCTCTCATCTAAATATCAGCTCAGTCAGAAATCTGGTGCCAAAGTAATAGAAATGGAGCTAGAAAGATAGAATTATTGCAAATAAAATTTTTAACTTTGTACAGCCTTACCAAGAATATCCAAGATCTTAAAATTAATGTTCACATTTGGTGAGTGCCAATATAAAGCAATCAATATCTGAGTAATAAGAATGTACTATTTTCAATTCTATATTGAACAACTAAAATAGAAGTTTTCTATGGAAAAAAGCTTACAGAAATGTTTAAAAGAAAATGATGCCCCATAGAAATGTAAGGTATAGGTAGAATGGATAAGACTGTACTGAAAATCAGTAGCCAAAAATTACATATAAGGTAGATACTGTGCAAAAGTTACTTTTGAACATTTGTATTTCCTAGAAACACTGCTTCAGATTTCATTACCCTTTCATTACCCTTTTTTCTGAGCACAAAAAACCTTCTAAAAGTGATACCCGTAAATACAAAGCAAGCTACTTTAGCTAGTACCTCTCCTGCTATTTACTATAACCATTTAATATGCATTTCTTCAAAATCATTAACAAAACAATTCAGAAGCACTGGATATACTTTCTTTCTAAAAAATAAATGTCTTTTGCAGTCCACTGGGATTTTGCCTCTTTGGTGAGGACCCAAAGATCTATCTTGAGTTGTTTCCATGTCGGAGTAAATCTAGAGAAATAAATATTTATTGGTGTCCAAAAATGTAATCTCAATTTTCTTTTTTTTAAAGAATCAGCACCCTTCAGAGGACACTATTAGTTTTCATCCTATTATTAATACAGGCTGTAGAACTCCTTATTCTGAAATTGGTAATAGTTGAACATTAGGTGGAGTGAGTTTCCAGTGACAACTCTGTCCTTGAAAGGCAAAAGGAGTCCTCTTAGAAGGTATAAATTGCATTCATACTCACTTCAAAGACTTGGTAGAATAACATAAACCAGACTATTACAAATGAAATCCAGGCCTCATTTGAAAACTGAGAACAGCTTTTGCCTGCTGCTGTGCAATGAAGAATGCAAATTAGATTTCGATTAAGTTTGAGAAAAAAGATTTTCTTTAAAGTTTAAAGCCAGGAATTTGTGTAGAACTAGTAGATTTGCATCTAGATGAGGTTGTACATAACTTCTTTTATCTCGTGATAGATACAAGAGATATTCTAGACTTCTGTCATGCAGTCTCTGAAACTGGAAGATAAAACAGTGTTGGAAGTTGGAAGAATATGAGGGGGTATTGGAAGCTGCTCATGCACTTTTATGTAAATAGTTATGCTAATGGTTTTATGTTTTGGAAACTCATTGATTGTATTTGCCTAAATGTGTATTTTGTTCACAACGTTTAGGCTTGAAAATATGCTTTAATGCTCACATATTGTCAGCAAAATGGTAAAAAGCTAAGTGAGACTTACTTTCTATACTTGTTAATGGATTAAACTGGGAGTGAGGAGAGCGTGATAGAGTGGGAGTCTTGTTTGAAAAAAACGTCTTGAGATAACATTCCAGTTACTTTCAGTAGAGATGGAATTGTTTCATCCATAATGCCTTTCTTATGGTACCAGGAGGAGCAGAACAACCCAATTTCATTTCATTCTTATGACATTATCCTTCTGATTAGAAAGTGTTAGGGGACAGGGATCTTCTGGGATCTTGGTGTGTGCACAGGTGTGACCAGGGAGGGTTGTGACCTGGAGGAGAGGACCTGGAGATCAAAAGGATTAAGGGACACTGTGGTTTGCAGATGAACGTGTCGGTGTTTGCTCGGCTCCAGGAGGAGAGGATCTGACCCCTTCCTCCATCCTCCTCTGGTGTTAAATTAAATACCTGCCCCAGTGATTTCTTCCAAGTGCTGTAGCATTGTTGGCAAAGGATGTAGCTTGTGGGCTAAGAGAGAAGCCATACATGTGCGGCAGTGTGTATCAATAGACCAAAAGAAAACATCAGGAATAGGCTATAGAGAAGAGTATGGTTTTAAATGTTTTTAGCTAAGCTTTTTCACTGAGGTACTTTAAATCTGGAGTGTAGGCAAGTCAAGTTGTACTGTAACATCTGCTAGCACATTTTAACATCTGTTCATATGGAGAGTCGGGCATGAAGGTTTAAAAAGAGCAGAATGTGACTGAGCTTTAACTTAGTGTAAAATAAAATACCTTTGCTACGAAGATTGTTAGTTCAATAATCAATAATATGCAATAATTTAAATTGCATCT